TTTCACATCCCCATAAAGACTTAAGTGAGGAAATGTCAGCAGGTTATGGGCAGGAAAAAAGGAAGAAATCGAAGGGTAACTGCAGTGAGTGAAGGTGACCTTGGCTCCCCTGTGGGTTACTAGGACTGTTTGGCTGACCCACGGGTAACATACATACATGTTCAACTGGTGTAATAACATGTTTGGTGCTATGAATCGTACCTCAGCCTACGTGACTGTGATATAGTATTATCTATGGTAGTGATAATCTACAATGCCTATCGCCATCCGAGTCCAACACTGTTAGGCAATCTGTTGATAATTTCCAATATATACAATAGTTATTTTCCTCTAACCTGGTATATAATTATTGTTGAATAAAGGAGGGGTAAGTAGAGGAAATTAAGTTACCTCTCAGCTGTTAACTTAGATATAAAAGCTATTTAACAAAATCTTAAATACGGATAAAATAATACCTAGCGAGCAGGGTTGACCTTTGTCATATATCAACATACCAACTCACATATATCCTTTATAAACACTAACGCTGAATAACAGACCTATAAAACTAATTTGGAAAAAAGTTAATCTACCAATACAACTCAGTGTGCGTTTGAAACTGCTTGAGATAATGGAGTTTGGACAAAATAAAATGAAAATATTGAGTATGTGGTGAGTGTTGGAAGTGAGGATCGCCTGAGGGACTAAGTAACTACAACACAACTCTTACTAACACTCAGTGTGAGTAAAGTCACTAAGGGGGAAGGTTGTGTCATGCTGCTCTCTCCATCATACCTCGGCCGCTACTCTTGCAGTAATAAGCCGAGAAACACTTCTATTCACGTATAAAACGGATATACTGTAAAGCTGACTTTGAAATATGTTTGGTAGTGAACTATCTTCAGTGACTACTACAACCTTAATGGCAAGTCTAGTTAAACTTTACAAAACTTGGAAAATGCAGATATATGTGTGTGTGTATATATGTCGTGCCGAATAGGTAAAATTGGTCAATCAGCAAGAACTCGTTTTAAAATTAAGTCATTTCTAAAATTTTCTCGTACCTTAAAAGGTATATTTTTTCATTATTGTTAATGTAAAAATTAATTTTGTAACAAAAGAACCTTAGAAAACTTACCTGACCTTATTATAACAAGCGCAATTTAATTTAGCTTAATCCAATTAAATATATTTTAGGTAAGTTTACAATAATTTAATAATAAACAAACACAATTGAAATATATTTTTTTTCGTTAGGTTTAGAATTATTTTTGCGAAATTATTGCATATACAAATTTTCGCTTGCCTTATTCGGCAAGAAGAGCATTGCTGTTTAAGCCAAAATCGAAAGTTTTACCTATTCGACACGACATATATATGGTTTGAGATTGTTACTAAGGTCACATTTTATCTGGTTTGTATTTTAATGAGGTTCCTTGATGTTGGTGAGGGGCTCTTGATCTAGGAAATTGGATCTGTGCTCCAGTTCCCTAAATTAAGCCTGAATACCTTCCCCCCCAACAGGCGCTGCATAATCCTACGGGTTTAACGCTCCCCTTAATAATAATAATATATTGAGTTCAGGTCCTGGTCTGAGATGATAGATAATTTAGATGTAACCCAACCTAGATAACCTTACATAACTGAACCTTACTCCGCCAGCGGGAGATGTGGGAATGGCACGTCTATGTTAACATTCCATGCTTCTTCATTCTGCTGTGCTGTATAGCCCTTGTGGCTTAGCGCTTCTTTTTGATTATAATAATAATAATTCATTCTGCTGTGATTGGCTAAGCTAGTAATGAGACTCCATGCTAAGTGTTGATTTGCTCTGAAGTGCCACTTGTGCCCAAATAAACTTTTCTGTTAATCCCAAAATAAAATTTTGCACACAAAATAATAATTATTTCTGGGTTATATATAACATGTTTGTATTTTACCCAATAAAATAATAGACGAGTTCCAACCGGGAACTAAACTCAATATTAACCGTATTATCAACGTTGTTATATATAAAACATCACACTTTAAATCGTCAGTGTGAAGTGTTACATGTATGACAGAATGTTAATTAATAATATTAACACGCAAGCGCTTACAATTTACATTTTTAACTTGAGTTTTTACATGTCTTATAAAATATTTGATTAACCCATTCCTACCCATTGCAAGTCAAAAAAATAAGATATTGTATAAAAATTATAGTACAGTGGCTGGAATAATTCACTTAAAAAATAGCCAAGCTCGTGGCTTGGTTGGTAGCGTCCTCAGCTTACACACTGAGGGACCGGGGTTGATCCCGGCACGGGTGAAACGTTGAGCATGTTTTATTACATCTGCCCAGGTAGTAATAGGTTGGTAGACACAAACATCCAGGTAGGTGAATAAGACTCGTGTGCCTTACCTGGGTATCTATACTGAGAGATGTGCCTTACCTGGGTATCTATACTGAGAGATGATTCGTCTGCGCGATAGACTTTGTCATTCTAATGATTAGATTAATAAAGGCTGCCGTGCGGGTTTAACTTACCACAAAAGATACCCAGGTATTGCACATATATCTTATTCATCAGCTTGTCGGTATTATCCCTTCAGGGAAGGTTCCTTGATGTTGGTGAGAGGCTCTTGATTTAGGGAATTAGATCTGTGCTCCAGTTCCCCGAATTAAGCCTGAATGCCTTCCACATCCCCCCCCCAGGCGCTGTATAATCCTACGGGTTTAGCGCTTCCCCTTTGATTATAATAATAATTGTCAGCATTATATCACTAATCTAATAAGCCAGGGAAGTACTGCCGTCTTGTCACACTAGTGTGAAACTCAAACGATTTTCACTGGTAGGATTTGTAGATGAATGGTTCAGAGAACCGACATGTTAATAAATTAGACACATGTGCAACTGAACATTAAAATGGTATAAAATACCGACAGATTGTTAGGTAAGACACATATGCAACAGTTAGGTATCTTTATTTTGAAACGTTTCGCCTACACAGCAGGCTTCTTCAGTCGAGTACAGAAAAGTTGATAGAAGCAGAAGATACTTGAAGACGATGTAATCAGTCCATCACCCTTAAAGTTCATATTCAAGTTCAACTTCATATTGTTTCAGACAACGGAACAATGCTCTTCTCCAGACTGAGGGACTGACCACCTCAAAACTTTAAGGGTGATGGATGATTACATCGTCTTCAAGTATCTTCTGCTTCTATCAATTTTCTGTACTCGACTGAAGAAGCCTCTGTGTAGGCGAACGTTTCAAATAAAGATACCTAAGTTGCATATGTGTCTTACCTAACACATGCGCAAACTTGGGTATCTTTATTGGAAACGTTTGCACACAGTGCTTCAGTCCATACTAGGGAAAACTTGAAGAACAGGAGAGAATGAGGTAATCAGTCCCTAACCTGGTCGAGTGTTCAGTCCATCAATCTTGAATAGATTACGGCATATGAGGGAGAAGAGCTGATAACCGTATGGCATGGAGTGCAGCAGTCATAGGTGTTCACATTTCCTCAATGTGGAAGTAGGCGTAGCCCAAGAATTAGCAAGCGAAGATTCCTAGTATTTAAGACCCAAGAATTGCAGGTCTGAAGGTTGTAATGATGTTCAGATTACCTCATTCTCCTCTTCTTCAAGTTTCTCCTACGATGGATGATGAAGCCACTGTGGGCGAACGTTTCTCATAAGATACCAAGGTTCTACATGTGTCTAATTTACAACTGGTGGATTGTTGATCTTTTCTTTTACTTGTGTGAGATGGCAGGTGAATATTCATCTATGTACATATTCTTAACTGTTTCTTGTTAAGATATTTCTAGTCTTGCATTTCGTTATTGTATGACCTGTGTCTCAGCCATTATAACACCCCCAGCGTGTAACAATAAATTGTGTCTAGCCTAAGATTTAGAACCCAGGAACCTGAATGATTCTCTCTCTCTCTCTCTCTCTCTCTCTCTCTCTCTCCTCTCTTCTCTCTCTCTCTCTCTTCTCTCTCATCTCTTCTCTCTCCCTCTCTCTCTCTCTCTCTCTTCTCTCTCTCTCTCTCTCTCTCTCTGCTCTCTCTCTCTCTCTCTCTCTCTCTCTCTCCTCTCTCTCTCTCTCTCTCTCTCTCTCTTCCCCATTATATATATATATATATATAAATATATATATATATATATATATATATATATATATATATCTGTGTGTGTATAACCTTGCTATATTAGGGTGAGTTTAATTGCCCTTATGTCACTTCTCCCTTTCTCTTCTACTCTCTCCTTTTAATCCTCCAATTTTTCCTATTCTTATAAATCTCTCTTATTTTTCTTCCTTCTCCTCTTCCTCTAAAACCTCTTCATTTCCCTTATTTTTCTCACTCATTCCTTTCCTCCTACTTTTCTCCTCATTCTCTTCCCATCTCTTAGTATGCGACTCAAAACAGTCGACTGACGCCTAGGTACTCATTTTCAGTTTGAATTTTTGGATATTTGGATTTTTACCCTTGCATCGCCTAGCCTGTAAATCAAACCTGATTATTATTATTATTATTATTATAATCAAGGGGAAGCGCTAAACCCAGAGGATTATACAGCGCCTGGGGAAGGGGATGTGGAAGGCATTCAGGCTTAATTCGGGGAACTGGAGCACAGATCCAATTCCCTAAATCAAAAGCCTCACCAACATCAAGGAACCTTCCTTGAGGGGAAATCAAACCTGAGATCTTCGGATGTGAGCTGCAAGTTCTACCGTAAATTACTTTTTTTCTGTGTCCCTTACGCATAAATTTGTAGTTAGAGAATATACCTTTCATTATAAAATTTATTGGATATACTGTATATATTTCACTGGATATATTTTGTTATTTTTAAATCTTTAACACGAATTTAAGTACACTTGTGAGGCTAGTATGTTTTGTGTGTTTTATTGTAAGTGTGAAACACTTCATATATAAAGCTAATTGCAATTCTTGTTAGAATTGTTTGAGTCTTGTTACAAGTTATTACAGGTGTTGCGTACTTGGCAGATGTTTGCCACAAGTGTTCTCAGGGAGAGGATATTAACCCTGGTGACCCACTGAGAGAGACAACCAAGGTGGCACGTTAAAGCATATCTTATCTTGAACAGTGGGGACTATCTGAAGAGTAGCCTCGCATCACCATGGTTAGGCAGGACAATTGTTTTCTGACCCGCCACTGGATCTTTTGGTCACTTGACCAAAGCCTTCCCATGGCTTACAAATCCACCCCCTTCCTTTAAAAAAATATGATTTGTAGTATAAAGGTTAACAGTCAAATGGTTTAGTAAAATTTTAGCACCCCATTTTTGTATTTAGTGTTAAAACCAAATTAGGACCCTACTTTTAATTTTGCTTAAATTTACGAACTATAAAATACTTGCTTAACCTATTTTGAGGATTTGTATATATAACAGTCTTTCCTTTGAGTGGGGAGGAAATATGAGTATGTAAAAGAATGTGTCATGTAACAATTCTGAGAATTTTTTTTTTTTCTGAGTGGTGTGGAGAAACTTAAATATTACATCTTATTATGTGATATTTAATTTTATCGGGGTGGACCAGTAAGCCAGAAGACCTTGATCAATAAATAATAACCAAGATTTTTAAAGGGGTGGACCAGTAAGCCAGCGGAAGGCCTCGGACAGATGACCAAAACTTCCAGCTGCGGGTCATCATATGACTAAGACCCGCATCGGGAAACACTTGTCCTGTTTCCTGACAAATCTTACCTAACCTAACCTCGGTCAGATGGCCAAAAGGTCCAAGAAGTGGGTCATTTTATTACTTTAACCCATGTCAAAAATAATTTTCCCATTTCTCATGGCAAACAAAATGTCAGCACCATATTCTAATGAAAGACTGGTCGGTATGACAGTAGAATATCCAGTGATTTCTTGGTGGAAGATCGCCTCAGCACGGTGTAACTTACCAAGCTAAACAGACTCTTCCTATTGATTATCTTGTTAGATTTTTGAACAGCGTTACATTCTTAGATTAATTACATTTAGCATGATACCGTAGTTCACGAGTGATTCATAGCTTAATAGTAGGGCATTCAGCTCACAACCAAAAGAATCCAGGTTTGATTTCCAAGCGGGGCGAGACATGTTACCTCTGTTCATCTGTCAGTAAGTAGGTAGTGTTTGCTGTAGTGAGGTACATCCTGAGAAAGGACCCTAACGGATGTAAGACTGATAAAATAGATTATGGCGGCTGTGGGTCTGCGAGTCGCTAGCAGCAACAGCTTGGTTAATTAGGTAGTCAACGAGGAAGCCTGAACTCAGGCAGGGCTGCGAGGTTAGAAGAGCCCTTGAAACCAGTCAATGGTATGTCAAATTCTTTGGCTTTCTTAGGTTATATACGGTTAATAATCAAAGATCATCTGAGCTTTCATCTGGCCCCGGGTGGTAAGAAAATTTGTTTTCCAGCACTTTAGTTACATAATGTGAAGGCTGCAGTCATGACTTACATGATGCAAATAATTATGTGCTCTTCAAGGGGTATGCCTTGATGCTAGAGAAAGGCTCTTGATCCGAGAAACTGAAGCTACACTCCCCATCCTCAGACCAAACCTGATCCCCTCCCACTTCCCAGACGCTGTGACCCTGATTGATTTAGGGTATAATAATGTTATTGTACTTTCAGGGATAAATTAGTATTGAGTTTGCTCATTGTAAACATCCTGTTCTGTTCTTCATATAATTTTTTTTTTTTTTACTTTTCCAGAGAGAGAGAGCTACCGGGACGCTATCAGTTTTTGAAAAACAAAATAAGTCGGGTGACTCGAGTGAAAAAGTGATGTGAAGGCATAATTGTGACACATTAGCCATAAGTATTACTAATGTCGGATGTGAGGTGTTGGAGCCAGGAAGTGTTAGTGAATGTGGATAAGTTCGTTGCTGTCACCAGGAAATGCTTCACATGAGAGATATGAAACGTGTTGCAACAATCATATTTGTATATATGTTGCCGAGTAAGTTTTAGTTAATGCGTAATGTGTTCAGGTCAATAGCGCTACCATATTGGTTGGTGTGTGATTCAGGAAGTGTGTACGCGACAAAGTGAACTGGTTCCAACCATAACAGTGTTGGAAAGTGGAATGGAGGAGTTGAGTGGGGAGTGTTGGAAAGTGTGGGTTGAGGTAATATGTTGGTAAGTGTGTTGTTGTAGCGATGGTGGTGAGAGGTGTGTTAGGGGTGGGAGTGACGCTCTTATTGCTGTTGGCGGTGGTGGAGGGAGGACAGGAGGTGGAAGGGGCTGCCGCCCCCTTTACGGATGAGTACCCAGTCTTGGGCGTGGACTATCCTGGCGAGGTTGTGGACTACCCAGGCCAGCTAGATTACTTAGATGCTGAACATTACTACACTAATCACTTCACGCCAGACTTATCGAACTCGACGCTACGAAAGTGTCGCTGTGCCGGGGAGGAAGTGTGGGGAAAGGGCGCGTGCCACCCCCATGACACAATTGTGGCCATCGTGGACCCCCAGACCGGGCAGCGGGTTGCGGCTAACACCAGTAGCCTGACCAGAGTGGTGGTTGGGCAGGTGAAGTGTCCCGCCCCGCGGGTCTCGGCGCTACTAGACTCCAATCGTCACCCAGAGCATGAATTTTCTTTGGAGGAGTCAGGTCATCTGTACTGGCAAGGCGAGACCTTCTCAGATTACTGCCTCGAGCATACCTACACTCCTGACGGGGAGCCCTCCGCCTGGGAGGCACAGGTGTGTCTGAACCCACCCTCAGTGCCCCGCTGCTGCCCGTCGGGATACGCTCTCCACATTCTCGACGGCTGTGTGCCCGAGGTGGGCGTGGTATGGTCACCGCCCGTGCAGGTACAGGAGCAGGTGGTAGCGTGGGGGCAGGTAGAGGGCGATGTTGTTAATATCACCTGCGACGCTCAGTCTGAGACTCAACACGTGGAGGTGGGTGGTGAAGGCGGCGCCACTCTGTTGTACAGCCCCCAGTCCGCCCTATTGTCCTGGACGCCGCCCACAGAGCTTAAGCCCAAGCAGCATCAGGACTACTGCGTAGGCGTGGAGGCGGGCGCAGCGGGGCGCTACCTCGCCAAGCTGTGCTACACAGACCCTATGAAAGCACATCGTCAGGCCTGCAACAACACCACCTGCGTGCGCAAGTGCTGCCCTCAGGGTTCCTTTTTCTGGCAAGAGTGTGTGCCAGTGGAGGCGCAGGAGGAGGAGTGGCAGCCAGAGTTCCACTATCCTGACACCCTAGCTGCAGGCGCCCCTCCCCCGCACCCCCTCACTTTCGTCTATGGCTTTCCCCTCTGCCCCTCCTGCTTCCAGCTGGAAACTTACCGCACAGAAGAGGACAAATTCTACCTGCTGACAGATGGCTCCCTGCACGTGCCTATCTTCTCCAAGGTGTTCCCACCAGATCAGTACTGCCTCGACAAGTTCCTCACAGATACGGGGCAGGTGCACACTCTGCCCCTCGTGTGCTTCCAAGAGGATGACGCCAGCGCCAGCAGCGCTTGCAAGGCTGTGCAACTGTACGTGTACCCCGTGCTGCTGGTGGTGTCGTGCGTCTTCCTGGCCATCACACTGCTCATCTACGTCAGCGTGCCGGAGCTGCACGCCAAGGTGCACGGCAAGTGTCTCGTCTCGCATGTCTCGGCCCTCCTGTTGGCATATGTCAGCCTCGTCACTGTGCAGTGGAGCACAGGACTTATGCCTCTAGCTGCATGCAAAGTTATGGGTTAGTATCACACAGCTTACTCTTTTAATTGGCTGGATCCATGGGTCAGTATTTTCCTCACATTTACATTCATTGTCTCCGAGGGATAATTATGCATCCGAGCCTTATGCTTAGCCCCTGGTTAAGGGCCGAACCCTGGAGTGATGGCTGTTGTAATGGACACAGTACTCCTTCATCTCTCTTTTGTGACAGTGGACCACCAAATTGTTCAGGGCATAGAGGAGGATATTTGTTTCTTGATTAATACACTTCAGGGGGGGGGGGGAAATGGGTGTCTTGAATATGGTAAAGGGCCTTTTATCCAAGGAATCAGAGCTACTCTCCTCAATTCTTGGATCAAATCTGATTGCCTTCCTATCCCAAGGGACTCGCTGATTCCCTATGAGTATAGCGAGCCCCCTCAAAAATAATAATAATCATAAATGTAATTTTCAATGTTTCCATTGAATGTCGAATTTTGTAACGGTTTTAATATGATCATGAAGTGTTAATGCGTGATTGGTTTTACCTTTTTTTGTACTGGCATACCCGTGTGTAAGTGTCATTGTGTAGTTGAAGTGCAAATGTGTAGTTGCAGTGCAAACAAATGCCACATCCATCCTCCCTGGCTGTGCCACACTCAGTATAACGTTGCTCACAGCTGTTGCTACTCCGCTGTTTTCAAACACCTGTGTCAAATGTTTTCTTTGTTACAATACGCAATTATGTAAACATTCTTCCATCAAGGTTTTTGATCTATTAATTTTAGTTGACACGTATAACTGAACAGCAAACCACAGTTAGGTTCATAACCATCTTCTCATCAGTCGGGTATGGAAAATTACCCTCTTACAGTTACGAATCTGATACTGACAGCACATGGAAAGACACTTGGCTCCTCTGGTAGAGGACTACCAGGTCGAGCTTCTGTTCACCATATCACATAGACTGTCTTATCTATCAGAACACGCAGAATTCCCTTTCGACATCTACAATGCTCTGATTCACTCACTCTAATTTAAGGTACCTAAAATGAAAGATTGTACTAAGGACTGTAATGGTAAAGTCCAGGGAGGCGGTTTATGTGGACAGTACTATTCAATGCAAATGATCTGTCATGGCTGATATATTCGCTTTAATTAAACCAGAAATTAACTCAACTGACCATTTTGAAAAGCATTCTTGACATTATATTCACAAATAATGATCTAATACAGGACATAATTGTGTGACAGTATTAAACATTACTCTCCAGACCACCATACACACCAGTCTTCAGCAGCTCAGTACAAACCATAACAAGGATGTATTCAATAAAATCAGTTTCAGCCATAATTGCACTAAATGGGATCAAACAAGTTATGGTATAATTACTGACAATATGTTAGGTAAATGGACACGGCTTAACAAAGCTCTTGGAGAGCGAAACGTTGCCACAATAATATGAAACGTTGGTTTGCATCTGTGTCCATTTATCTAACACACAAATCATGACAATGAAACCTGCTAGGAGAAATAATATAAATAACATAAATCTAAACCAGTGCTTGAGATAATGATCTCAACTGGCAACATCAGTGTGCTCCAGGCTCGGACTGAAAATACAAAGATGAGAGTACATATTAGACAGATAAAGATGTTTAGGCTCGGACTGAAAAAACAAAGATGAGAGTACATATTAGACAGATAGATGTTTAGGCTCGGACTGAAAAAACAAAGATGAGAGTACATATTAGACAGATAGATGTTTAGGCTCGGACTGAAAAAACAAAGATGAGAGTACATATTAGACAGATAAAAATGTTTCATCTGGAGACAGTTTGTCAAGAAGACAAAGAGAAATGTTTCCTGAAGCGGGTCTTAATTATATGATAATCCTCAACTGGAGTTTTTGATCATTTGACAGAGGCCTTTCGCTGGCTTGCCGATTCATCAGCCCTTGTGGCTTAGCGCTTCTTTTTTGATTATAATAATAATTGCCGTTTCATCCCTTTAAAAATTATGGTTATAATTATAACTATTAGAATTATCCCTCAGGGTATATCCTTGGCAGAGATAAAGAACCAAAGAGCTGCAAAAGTCCAGATTATCTTAGGAACGAGTAAGAAAACAGAAATATAATTCAATGATTTAAAATTTAATGCACTGTACAGTGCTTAGGAGACGAGAAAATCAAAAAGTTATCTGTAAAATTGAAAGCAGTTCATCCAGTATTAGGCCCTTGTTTTAAGGAAATGGAACTTTCCCTGATAAAGAAATAAGCGAAATAATGAAATAGGTCTTCTAAAAATTCAAAACATAACATTTCTCAGATTTTAATGTAGCCCTAATCTCACTTTACTTAGAATAAGTCGTTGATATCATGTCCATGTTCCCTGCCCTAAACATCCTGTTGAGACAGTCTAGAAACAGGCATCAACCCAGTCACTAAAACCCACTGATAAAGACCGTAAACTGCGAGTGGAGGCTGTGAACTAGGCTCCTAAGGTGCGAGTGGAGGCTGTGAACTAGGCTCCTAAGGTGCGAGTGGAGGCTGTGAACTAGGCTCCTAAGATGCGAGTGGAGGCTGTGAACTAGGCTCCTAAGGTGCGAGTGGAGGCTGTGAACTAGGCTTCTAAGATGCGAGTGGAGGCTGTGAACTAAGGTGCGAGTGGAGGCTGTGAACTAGGCTCCTAAGATGCGAGTGAGGCTGTGACTGGGCTCCTAAGGCGAGTGAGGTGTGAACTAGGCTCCTAAGGTGCGAGTGGAGGCTGTGAACTAGGCTCTTAAGATGCGAGTGGAGGCTGTGAACTAGGCTCCTAAGGTGCGAGTGGAGGCTGTGAACTAGGCTTCTAAGATGCGAGTGGAGGCTGTGAACTAAGGTGCGAGTGGAGGCTGTGAACTAGGCTCCTAAGATGCGAGTGGAGGCTGTGAACTAGGCTCCTAAGGTGCGAGTGCAGGCTGTGAACTAGGCTCCTAAGGTGCGAGTGGAGGCTGTGAACTAGGCTCTTAAGATGCGAGTGGAGGCTGTGAACTAGGCTCCTAAGGTGCGAGTGGAGGCTGTGAACTAGGCTTCTAAGATGCGAGTGGAGGCTGTGAACTAAGCTCCTAAGGTGCGAGTGGAGGCTGTGAACTAGGCTCCTAAGATGCGAGTGCAGGCTGTGAACTAGGCTCCTAAGGTCGAGTGAGCTGAGAATAGCTTTAAGGCATGGAGGCTGTGAACTAGGCTCCTAAGATGCGAGTGAAGGCTGTGAACTAGGCTCCTAAGGTGTGAGTGGAGGCTGTGAACTAGGCTCCTAAGGTGCGAGTGGAGGCTGTGAACTAGGCTCCTAAAGTGCGAGTGGAGGCTGTGAACTAGGCTCCTAAGGTGCGAGTGGAGGCTGTGAATTAGGCTCCTAAGATGCGAGTGGAGGCTGTGAACTAGGCTCCTAAGATGCGAGTGGAGGCTGTGAACTAGGCTCCTAAGATACGAGTGGAGGCTGTGAACTAGGCTCCTAAGGTGCGAGTGGAGGCTGTGAATTAGGCTCCTAAGATGCGAGTGGAGGCTGTGAACTAGGCTCCTAAGATGCGAAGGAGGCTGTGAATTAGGCTCCTAAGGTGCGAGTGAGGCTGGGAATTAGGCTCCTAAGATGCGAGTGGAGGCTGTGAACTAGGTTCCTAAGATACGAGTGGAAGCTGTGATCTAGAATATGTTAGTAAGCTGTGAATAAGGCTTGTATAGTAGGTTTCTACCTAATATAATTCATAGCCTCCAGAGTAAGATATTGCGCCACAAAGATGGTGGCATAATTGCCACTCAGATGATTAAAATTTCTAGCGAAACTAAACGTAAGTCGTGAGCTCTGCAAGACCTCACACGACCACCCTAGTCTTTGTGTACACTTGACACACGTACACCGTATGTATACTTGACTAGTACACTGTATGTACACCGTGTGTACGAGTGTCATGACACGTACACCAGAGACGTGCACCGTGTACACCAGAGACGTGCACCGTGTACACCTGACACGTACACTATGTACATCTGACACGTACATCGTGTGTACATCTGACATGCGTACACTATTATGAAAAGCTTTGCAATTTTCAACGTTTTTACCTTCGTATTGTTTTCCAAGAAGCCGCGAGTTGGTGAATTGTGAGCAAGTGTAACCATGAGCGTGAGTGAACCACACCATGACCTTGACGTGAGTGAACCACACCATGACGTGAGTGAACCACACCATGACGTGAGTGAACCACACCATGACGTGAGTGAACCACACCATGACGTGAGTGAACCACACCATGACGTGAGTGAACCACACCATGACGTGAGTGAACCACATCATGACCTTGACATGAGTGAACCACACCATGACGTGAGTGAACCACATCATGACGTGAGTGAACCGAGCCATGACCTTGACGTGAGTGAACCAAACCATGACTTGAGTGAGTGAACCGAGCCATGACCTTGACGTGAGTGAACCACACCATGACCTTGACGTGAGTGAACCACACCATGACCTTGACGAGTGAACCACACCATGACCTTGACGTGAGTGAACCTCATCATGACCTTGACGTGAGTGAACCAAACCATGACCTTGACGTGAGTGAACCGAGCCATGACCTTGACGTGAGTGAACCAAACCATGACCTTGACGTGAGTGAACCGAGCCATGACCTTGACGTGAGTGAACCACACCATGACCTTGACGTGAGTGAACCACACCATGACCTTGACGAGTGAACCACACCATGACCTTGACGTGAGTGAACCACATCATGACCTTGACGTGAGTGAACCAAACCATGACCTTGACGTGAGTGAACCGAGCCATGACCTTGACGTGAGTGAACCACACCATGACCTTGACGTGAGTGAACCACATCATGACCTTGACGTCAGTGAACCACACCATGACGTGAGTGAACCACACCATGACCTTGACGTGAGTGAACCACACCATGACCTTGACGTGAGTGAACCACTCCATGACGTGAGTGAACCGAGCCATGACCTTGACGTGAGTGAACCACTCCATGACGTGAGTGAACCGAGCCATGACCTTGACGTGAGTGAACCAAACCATGACCTTGACGTGAGTGAACCGAGCCATGACCTTGACGTGAGTGAACCACATCATGACCTTGACGTGAGTGAACCACATCATGATCTTGACGTGAGTGAACCACACCATGACCTTGACGTGAGTGAACCACATCATGACCTTGACGTGAGTGAACCACATCATGACCTTGACGTCAGTGAACCACACCATGACGTGAGTGAACCACACCATGACCTTGACGTGAGTGAACCACACCATGACGTGAGTGAACCGAGCCATGACCTTGACGTGAGTGAACCACATCATGACCTTGACGTGAGTGAACCAAACCATGACCTTGACGTGAGTGAACCGAGCCATGACCTTGACGTGAGTGAACCACATCATGACCTTGACGTGAGTGAACCACATCATGACCTTGACGTGAGTGAACCACACCATGACCTTGACGTGAGTGAACCACATGACCTTGACGTGAGTGAACCACATCATGACCTTGACGTCAGTGAACCACACCATGACCTTGACGTGAGTGAACCACACCATGACGTGAGTGAACCGAGCCATGGCCTTGACGTGAGTGAACCACATCATGACCTTGACGTGAGTGAACCAAACCATGACCTTGACGTGAGTGAACCGAGCCATGACCTTGACGTGAGTGAACCACATCATGACTTGACGTGAGTGAACCACACCATGACCTTGACGTGAGTGAACCACACCATGACCTTGACGTCAGTGAACCAAGCCATGGCCTTGACGTGAGTGAACCACACCATGACCTTGACGTAGTGAACACATGACCTGACGCATGACCAAGCCATGACCTTGACGTCAGTGAACCAAACCATGAGTGTAGAACAAATAATTAATAGCAACAACAGTAGTTTATAAGTAACAGTACTGTGTTGGTTGCCCACAGCCTCGGTGATACACTTCAGCTTCATGGCTGCCTTCTTCTGGCTCAACGTTATGTGCTTCGACATCTGGTGGACCCTCAAGTGAGTACTGTGTGTGTGTGTACTTTCTATTTGTATTACCTATTTGTTGTTGCAGGGGTCGATTCACAGCTCCTGGCTCCGCCTCTTCACTGGTCGCTGCTAGGTCTACTCTCTCCATGCTCCATGAGCTTTATCATATCTCTTCTTAAAGCTGTGTGTGTGTGTGTGTGTGTGTGTGCGCGTGTGTGTGTTCACTTATTTGTGGTTGCAGGGGTCGATTCTTAGTTCCTGGCCCTGCCTCTTAAATTGTCACTCTTCAGATCCACTCCCTCTTAGCCTCATGGGCCCAATCGTACCTGCTTATAAAACTATGTATGAAGCCTGCTTCCACCACTTCCTCACGAAGATCATTCCACTTCTCGACCACTCTTGAGACTAAAGAAATAATTCTTTACATTCCTGTGTCTCACCTGTCTATGCCTGTCTAACTTGTTAGTTTCCCTGTGTGTGTGGGGGGGGGAGTAGGTATAAAAATTCATAAAACTGTTGAATCTTTTTTCAAGGGATGAACCAATACCCATTAATAAATTGACTCAATAATCGGTGGCATAGTTCAAGTTAGATACAGCAAACTTTCGACGGGATTAAGGGAAATAACAACGTGTTATTATTTAGGCTAAACTTGCTAAATAAAATAATTGTGATGTTAGATTTGGTCTGTAATACATGTAAAATAAAAATTAGCTTAGGCTACGTTATATTATGTTAAGCCAGGTGAAGTTTAACAATATGTGGTGGTGATAATAATGGTTGTGATAATAGTGTCTGTTATGGTGGCTAGAGTACTGGTCATACCTAGATATCCTTCACAACACTATATTTTAATTGTGAATCAAACCTGAAGAAGGAATTTATTTGCTTACCGACTTTGATTTTCTTGAATTGCAGCTCCTGAGCCGCCTTCCTAATAATTGGCAATTTTTATTTCATGTATGGCGTCAACCTCTACTATAGTACTCCCTATTCCTGCCTGTCTTTTCCTACCTTTAGGTAATGTAAGTATTAAGCTTCTTTGATCCCATGTCCTAAGTCACACCTGTGTGTTGGACTCTCCCATGTCCTGATCCCTCCGTGTACTGGTCACATAAACCATTCTTGCACCAACAGTGTTCAGCGTCAACCATTATACGTTTCCTATTTTTCCTCGGCCACCTCGTTGCCAGACGTATCACAGCGTTCCTTTCTGATTTATTTATGTTACGTATACGTTTTCATAAGAAGCTGCAGAGGCAAAAACTTTTGCATGGGTTGTAACTTACAGTAGGTACAGTAGAGGCGTGAGACTTAAAGGTACAGTAGAGGCGTGAGACTTAACACCAAATACGGCATCTGTGAAGGTTAAGAGACCTGAGGCATAGCTTGTAGTTCAGGGTCTGTGTGTGTGTGTGTGTGTTACTCACCTAGTTGTACTCACCTAGTTGAGGTTGCGGGGGTCGAGTCCGAGCTCCTGGCCCCGCCTCTTCACTGATCTCTACTAGGTCACTCTCCCTGAGCCGTGAGCTTTATCATACCTCTGCTTAAAGCTATGTATGGATCCTGCCTCCACTACATCGCTTCCCAAACTATTCCACTTACTGACTACTCTGTGGCTGAAGAAATACTTCCTAACATCCCTGTGATTCATCTGTGTCTTCAGCTTCCAACTGTGTCCCCTTGTTACTGTGTCCAATCTCTGGAACATCCTGTCTTTGTCCACCTTGTCAATTCCTCTCAGTATTTTGTATGTCGTTATCATGTCCCCCCTATCTCTCCTGTCCTCCAGTGTCGTCAGGTTGATTCCCCTTAACCTCTCCTCGTAGGACATACCTCTTAGCTCTGGGACTAGTCTTGTTGCAAACCTTTGCACTTTCTCTAGTTTCTTCACGTGCTTGGCTAGGTGTGGGTTCCAAACTGGTGCCGCATACTCCAATATGGGCCTAACGTGCACGGTGTACAGGGTCCTGAATGATTCCTTATTAAGATGTCGGAATGCTGTTCTGAGGTTTGCCAGGCGCCCATATGCTGCAGCAGTTATTTGGTTGATATGCGCTTCAGGAGATGTGCCTGGTGTTATACTCACCCCAAGATCTTTTTCCTTGAGTGAGGTTTGTAGTCTCTGGCCCCCTAGACTGTACTCCGTCTGCGGTCTTCTTTGCCCTTCCCCAATCTTCATGACTTTGCACTTGGTGGGATTGAACTCCATGAGCCAATTGCTGGACCAGGTCTGCAGCCTGTCCAGATCCCTTTGTAGTTCTGCCTGGTCTTCGATCGAGTGAATTCTTCTCATCAACTTCACGTCATCTGCAAACAGGGACACCTCAGAGTCTATTCCTTCCGTCATGTCGTTCACAAATACCAAAAACAGCACTGGTCCTAGGACTGACCCCTGCGGGACCCCGCTGGTCACAGGTGCCCACTCTGACACCTCGCCACGTACCATGACTCGCTGCTGTCTTCCTGACAAGTATTCCCTGATCCATTGTAGTGCCTTCCCTGTTATCCCTGCTTGGTCCTCCAGTTGTTGTGTGTGTGTGTGTGTGTGTGTGTGTGTATACTCACCTAGTTGTGGTTGCAGGGGTCGAGTCACAACTCCTGGCCCCGCCTCTACACTGGCTGCTACTGGGTCACTTCCCGCTCCATGAGCTTTATCATACCTCTTCTTAAAGCTATGTATGGATCCTGCCTCCACTACATCACTTCCCAGACTATTCCACTTCCTGACAACCCTGTGACTGAAGAAATACTTCCTAACATCCCTGTGATTCATCTGAATCTTCATCTTCAACTGTGACCCCTTGTTGCTGTGTCCCATCTCTGGAACATCCTGTCTTTGTCCATCTTGTCGATTCCTCTCAGTATTTTATATGTTATCATATTCCCCCTATCTCTCCTGTCTTCCAGTGTCGTCAGGTGTGTGTGTGTGTGTGTGTGTGTGTATGTGTGTGTGTGTGTGTGTGTGTGTGTGTGTGTGTGGTGTGTGCGCGCGCGCGCACACCTGTTTTTACTTACCTGTCTATTGTTGCAGGGGTCGATGCTTAGATCCTGGCTCCGACTTGAACTTGTCGCTCTCCAGACTCACTTCCTCTTAGCCTCGAGGACCCTTTCCCATCTGTCTCTCAAAAAAGCCTGTGCTTATCTGCCCCAGCAATTCCTCTTGAGCATTTTCTATACATCTCCCCTAGTTCTTCTGTTCAATGTCGTTCAATTCAATAACATTAGCTTCTCCTAGTAGCTTATGCCCCTCTGTTCAGGAACAAGCCTTGTTGCATACTTCTGCACTTTCTCCAGTTTGTTAACGTGCTTTTTCCGATGTGGGCTCCGTACTGGTTCTGCATACTCCAAGACTGACCTGACGTATGTTGTACAAAGAGCCAGGAATGACTTTGTTGAGATTTCTGATAGCTCTTGTATTTGCTAGATGAACATTTGCTGTAGAGGTTATTCGGCTTATGTGATCCTCTGGCGATATACCGGACACTATGCTCACCCTTAAGTCTCTCTCTTTGAATTCTGCAACTTCTCTCTCTCAAGTCTATACTCCGTGTCCAGTCTTCTTGTCCCTTCCCCAATCTTCTTAACATTGCATTCGCTGGAGTCGAAGTCAAGAACTACATATCCGACCAGTCTTACAGTTTGTCCAGATCCATTTGGAACGTTTCCCTGTGCTTATATTTTTATCTTTTTCATTAGTTTTACATCATCAGCAAATAGGGATGCACCTGATTCAGTCCCATCCGGAATATTAATTACGTAAACCAGAAATAGTTCTTGTCCTAGTATCGAGCCTTGTAGAACCCCGCTAGTTACGCTCCCATTCTGACATCTCTTCCCTGACAATCGCTGTGCTGCCTTTCCCTAAGGTACTCTTTGGTGCCTGCCCCTCAATTTCCTACCCCAGCTTATGTGGGTACAGTATTAAATGCCTTCTTTTAGTCAAAGAAAATGCAATTCATCTATCCTCCCCCTCTCTCTGTCTGTCTTGTCACACTTCTGTTACCAACCTGTGCTGGTTATTGCTTATGAAACCACCTCTCTCCAAATGTTCTACCACTCCCCTAATAATCTTTTCTATTACCTTACACAGTATGCATGTAGTTCAAGACTTTCTGTACGCCTCCTGTCTTAGATATAGAGACTACATTAGTTGCTTTCCAGATCTCTGGCATCTGCCTCATATCTATTAACTTCTTGTAAATTCTAGCTAGGTAATGGTTCAGACAGTGCTTGTGTTCCCTTTCGCAAAATACATAGCGACACTTTGTTAGGTCCATTACCTTTGATATATCCAGTTCCATCAAAATATTCTTTGTCTCTCCTTTTGTTGTGCATGTCTTTCAGTACTTGTTGTGTACCCTGTCCCTTACGTCTTCTGGTATTCTCGCTGTTGCCTCTCCTTTTGTTGTGCATGTCTTTCAGTACTTGTTGTGTACCCTGTCCCTTACGTCTTCTGGTATTCTCGCTGTTTCTCTGAGAAGACCTCTTCAAATGGTTTAATCAACACTTCAATGACTGTCATTTTTCCTGGGTTCCTTCTGTCTTCAGTTGAATTCCTTGCTTTTACTGTTGACTTTCTTTTGTGGTCGTGAAGCAGACGTAGCCTTTGCTGCCATGTCTTTCTCTGTCTCTCAGCCTCTTTCCTTACCCTTGCATACTCGTTTCTACCTAATTTGCTCACTGCTGTTCTCATCTGTAGTTCGCTTCCAGGTGGCGGGTTATTTGCATAACACATCTCTCTCTCGTAATGACGATAAACATAATTATGATCAGTAATAAAATAGGTAACACACATTTTTACTATAAACAGTTTAATATAAACATTTATGGATGATCTAAAGCGCAGAATTCTTTGGAGAAAACACAAAATTTTGCATGGGCAACTTCAATCAGTTTAGATGTTTATAGAGGAGGAAGAAAAACATTATTTACAAACATGTATAATGAGAAGTTAGCGTTCTTAAGCAGATGTTATTACTAGGCGAGGTGTTAGTGAATGTTGCACACCAGTAGCCTAAACATTTATC